TCAAGGCGATGCCACAATGCAGGGCATCGTGAATAAATACAACCAAGTATTAGCGGATTCCCGCGTCCTTGATGGCTTTCACCCCGCGCCAAACTTGGTCTACCTCTGGCCGCCAGCGCTCCGAGCCTACCGCCGCATTCATCGCAACATGACCACGATCAAGAAAACAATCTCGGTATCCATAATGCTACGCTATGTATTCTCACAACCGTGACGAATCGCTCAAATGTTTATATAGGGAAAAAGAGTCACTCTTTCATCGTTTCTCGGAAGTACACTTTTGGACATACGCACATTATTCACATCTGCCGAAGCACTTGAGTAGATTTTTTCCCGGGAACGACCCGAAGACAATGCAGTGGAATATATCGTTCGAACTTCTCGAAGAAATCGCTGAAACTGCCATCATGAAAGCAGCCAGATGCAGGTATTCGATTGAAATCTCGTTCCAAAAACCGCCTCGAACGTCGCGAGTTGGCGCATGATGCCTGGCAACGTGTTCCATGAATCCAGCGAAAATGTTCATGCGGCGAAAACAGGCAAAAACCTGAGCCTTCCACAATTCATCCCTATTTCCAAGAACATAGAATTTAAATGGATTTTAAATTACTAGATTAACTAAGAATTTTCTTGGAAGCCGATGCTGAGTAATATGTTGGTGTCGAATATTGAGTTCCAAGATGTTGACACCTACAATTGTAGCAGTTGGATAAACGGACACACTTCATATCGACTGTTCCTTATGGGTATCAACAGCGAAAATTGTGGTCAAAGGCACTCCTAATATGAAGAGACTGCTGGAGAGTATTTATTATATCAACAAATTCTTATTTCATTTCATGCCTGTGTTTATATATTTTAATAATATTTCTTTCCTCATCCCCTCCCCCAAGGACGAGGTGGAAGAACACAAGAAAAACCTGCCATTGTCTGGGGAACCAAATGATTACATCGACGCCTATCTCATGGAATTGGAGGAACTGAAGCGACGAGGGGAGATGGATCACTATCTCTCTGGTATTCCTAGAAAAATCGCGGAAAAGGAAAATGATCGAAGGAAGTGGTCATTTAGAGTGACTCGCATTTCCCATAGAATCAGGATTGCGGGAGAACGTCGTGGACTTGTTCATAGTAGGAAACGACACGACTGCACACTCCATCCGTTGGTGCGTCCTGTTTCTCCTCTGTCACCCACAAATTCAGGAGAAACTTCAGGTTGAAGTTGACAACGTTGTAGGTTCCGACCGAACGCCTTCGCTCAAGGACCGAAACAGGTATGATTCACTATTGCCTGCACACGAGTCCAAAAAAGTAAAATTAAGTATTTTCGACAGGATAGCATTTGGTTTCGCTTTTCTTCCATTGTTTTAACTGAAATTTATAACCAGGAACATAAAAATCTCCTTAAAATCGGACACCCCTCATTACGTGTGTTTACTGTTTGCTGAAAACCATAGAGTACCTGTAGCAGCGTTTTCAACAATTTGTCTGTCAAGAGAATCACATCGGATTCTCTCATCAGAATGTCAAACTCACTATCGTTCCACAGGAACGCACCTCACGAGCAATCCGTCGAGGTACTCGAAGACGTCACGGTAATCGGCAAAAAGTTCATGGATTGAAAATTGCTCGGTTGTGCATGAACTACCAGGTAGTGCATGAACTACCAGGTAGTGCATGAACTACCAGGTAGTGCAAGGGGTCACGGGCGACAGTGCCACCTCCTCAAATAGGAGTTTAGCTATGTTATTAATTGACTTTCATAAGCTGACACTTAGAAAATGATTTTCCACATTTTATGATTGTAAAATTGTTTATTTAAAAATGCTATTCATGTGCAAATTGCATCGTTTGTATGTTTTAATCATTTCAACCTTCGTCAAGGTGACAATGCATCATTTTCCTCTGCTGTGAGTACGATCCCTTCCCCCCCCCCCTGTAAAAAACAATGTGATGGAAGCAAAAGAAGCAAATCCGTATGCGTGTAAAATGGCAGTTTGATTGTGGTAAAAATAAGCATTTTTTGCGGGGAACCTGCAGGTGTGTTGAAATTCGACTCTTTGTGACAAACGTGTTTCACGAAAACTTATTAGCCTCACATACTTTTCCCATGTGGACGCAGAATGCCCTACGCGCAAGCCTTCACCATGGAGGTGCTGCGCTTGTCGCACCTGGGCCCCTTAGGAGTGCCTCACGAGTCTACGGAAGACGCAGACATCGCCGGATATCGATTTCCAAAGGTATTTCCCCCCCCCACCCCCCGAGGAAAAATCAGGGAGTTGCACAGGTCACCGGAGAGACTTGATTGCCATCGATTTCGTTCAAGTAAAAAGGGTTCCGTTTTTTTTTTTCCTTCTTTCTGGGGCGTAGTGGGAGAAAGCGTTCAAGCTCAGAAACTAGCAGGCATTCATGAACCTAGAGAAGAAATCGATTAAATTTTGCAGATCGGGCGGGACATCTGACAAAAAGTGAGGGAAGGGAGTGCCTACTCTATAATGGCGAACGAGTTCTGTCCTTTTTAAGCTTTAAGATTCTGCTGCAATTTCGTAGTAAAATGAGGTATTAGCTGATTTATTTTTAATGAACAATATCGGCATTTAAATCTGTTCGTATTTACATGAAAGCCCCATTATAAATCACACCCTCCGAATTTTCTGTTGCACCCTTTCATCCTTAGGGAACGACATTCGTAGCAAACGTTTGGTGGTGTCACATGAATCCCAAGTTCTGGCCCGATCCCGAAAAGTTTGAACCTGAAAGATTCCTCAATCCAGATGGATCCGTGAAGACAAAAGTCCCCAGCTTCCTTCCGTTCTCCCTCGGTGAGTTACTTTATTCTGGCTGATCTTGGTTCAAAATATACTTGATATATAACTATGCTCTCTTATTACCAGGGAAGCGCCAGTGCATCGGCGAGTCATTGGCTCTGATGGAACTCTTCTTGTTCATTGCCATCTTCATGCAGAAATTCACATTTCGCACCACGACCGGACTTCCTCATCCCAAAGCCGAGGGCGTAGACAGCATCACCATAAAACCTCCAAAACCCTTTCAATTCCTTGTCGAGGAAAGAAAACATTAACGCAATGTCATTCATCATGATTTTCAGCATTATTTTCTTGACACATCCCATATCCTCCGTTTGGTAATGAGGATATAATGGAAGACCAAATGATTTATTAAGGGTAGTTTTGAACATTGAACATTGAACATTTTGTACCATTTAAAACAAATATTTCGTCGGATTGCGCTCTCGTGAAAATATAATGTTATCGTTTTTTTCCCGATTGTTAAAGCCCTTTTTCATTTCTTGATAAATATTTTTCAAAACCTAAGGTACAATCCGCTAATCTCTGTGCTCTCTTATCTGTGCTTCTGACAGTCGCAATATGGCCCTTCACAATGAATCCCTAACAGGCTGAATAATTAGTTTGCGCAAAATTTAAAAATGGTTTTATTGAATTGTCGAACTGTTTAGACCGGTTCATTAATCCAGTTTTCTTTGTAATCCGATGCATCGATGTCTGAAAAGTCATATGCATGCGATTCTTCATCTTATGACACTAAAGTTAAAATGAGCCTCCAGGAACTTAAAACATATATTTCCTAATAGTAGCATGGATACAGAAACCATTTGAATAAATTTACTCTGTGGTCCCTCCAGAATGTTTACGGAAAGTGAAAACCCCTTCACTTGCGGTTTGCAGAGAGTGTTTTCAATTTTGTCATGAAAGTCAATATGGTGGAATATAACCGAGTCAGTTTCATTTCTCGTGGGACCTCAGTCAGCAAAAAGACTCATACTTTTGCACTTCCTCGGGATATGTGGAGAGATGCATTCCGATTATTCATTTTTTCAGGATGCATTTTTTCAGGAGTTCCTAATGGCCTTAGATAAATTCGTAAAAAGCGCGGCTTGGAAGGCGGGAATTCCTCCCAAGTCCTTTCTAGAGTGGAAAATTTACATCACTGGACGTGTCAGGCTCCTGCTCCGTAATTTCACTCCAAAAGGTTCCGAAAATGCATTCGATATCAGCAAATTGGAGCTTAAAGACGCCCTGGACAGGCTTCAAGATAAATTAGTAATCACGGTTATCGACAAAGCAAGTAATAACTTCTGTTTCATTGCAAGAAATTATATGGTCTGGTCATGGAGAAAGAGATTAACGAAAGTCCTGCATATGAACCGGTTGGAGAGAGGCAAACCAGAATCTTGAGCTCTCTCATGAAAATTAATAGCAGATTTAGCATTGAAGTGGACGAGAAAAGCATGAAACTACCCTTCTTGTTTGCTAACCCCAAGTTCCATAAGAACCCTATTAAATTTAGATTCATTGCGAGCTCAGTAGGTACCTGCCTCAAAGGGCCCTCCCTTCTACTGAACGGCATCCTGGACAGGCTCTGTGACAGGATCAAGCAAAAGTGCAAAACCTGCCACTGTCACTGGATCGTCAATAATAATAGGAAGGTCCTGCTTGCAATTGAAGCCCTAAACGACCTCGAAGAAGCCTCCAGCGTCATGTCATGGGATTTCTCGACGCTTTATACTAAGATCCCCCTGGACTTACTAAATAATATC